GTTTCTCTCAAGAGAATGGCTCCCAAGTCCTGACCCAATATGCAGTCACTCCAATATTTCTTTCCATGGTCCCTTAAATGCTTCTTCTGCAAAGGGGTGGGAACTGCCGGTTGACAAGCAGGCCCAAACTTCCTTCAAAAATCTCTGGCAGCCCAAGTCTCCATAGGCTTGTCTCCCGGGAGTTCCAGGCCCAGCCTCCTGGATCCCCTAGCCTTGTCAGAAGCCTCATCTGGGGCGCTGACAGTCTCTCCTAGGGCTCTTAGGGCACAGGGCATCTCGCCAGCCCCTCTGAACCTTGTCTAGAAGACAAACGTTGCCCAGATCATCCTGGGAGGCAGGGAGGTGAGTTACCTAAGTACTAAGCACCCACCTTCCTCACTCCAATATGGCAGGGGGTCCGCCTGCATGGCTGCAGTTTGGCCACGGGAATCATCATTAGCCTGACCCGATCAGGACTTGCCCCCCAAGCCCTGTTCTCCATCCCTCCTGCACCAGAAGGCCCATCCATGCCTCAAGGCCCCAGCGCCCTGTCCGGGGACTCCCTGCCGGCTCACCCTGTCCTGTGATGTCAGAGTTCATTGTACACCTGGACAAGAATACCCATCACACCTATCCGGTTGCCAGGGGCAGGGCTCCTCTGCTTCAATCGGAGCTTCCTCCTTCCTTCTCCAAATGGTTCTCCACTGCCAGAAATGTTCACCCCACCCCAGAGATGGCCTTGCCCAGCATCAGACGCCCAAGCGTTTTCCTGAATGCTCCTTGGCCGTCCTCCACTACTGCCCTCCATCCGTTCTCCCCCACGGCCAAGCAGGACTGCTGAGCGTGCATCTCCCACCCGGGCCTTGGCGTGAAGTCCTGCCAGCACGTGCACCTGCATTCGGGACGCCAGGACCCAGAGCCGCCGGGGTCTGGCCGGTGCGGGCACGCCCCCGCGCCCCTTTCCATCCCGTGCATGGGTGCGGGCTGTCTCCTCGAGCTGACCAAAGCTCCTCCGGCCTGCCCCGCCCTCGGAGCGGCCAAAGGCACGTGTCATGTCAATATCGGGGATGTCAGTTTCCTCGTCCGT